CAATCCCCCATGATGATAAGGACATCATTTTTTGGTGTTAATTCTAGAAGGTGTTGTAGGCCTTCATAGAACCGGTCAACTTCAGCCTCTTCTGCACCAGAGGCTGGGGCATAGACTTGGACTATTGTGATGTTGAATGGTTTTCCTTGGATTCGATTGAGATCATTCTGTCATTTTGGAGATTGCATCCCAGTACTGCTTTTCCTACTCTTTTATTGACTATGGAGGCCACTCCATTTCTTCTGAGGGATTCTTGTCCACAGTAGTATACCTGATGGTCATCTGAATTAAATTCACCCATTCCTGTCCGTTTTAGTTCACTGATTCCTAAGATGTCGATGTTCAGTCTTGTCATCTCTTGTTTGACCACATCCAGCTTGCCTTGATTCATGGATCTTACATTCCAGGTTCCTTTGGAGTATAGATCTTTGCAGCATCAGACTTTCCTTTCCCCACCAGATACATTGGGAACTGAGTGTCCATTCGGCTTTGACCCAGTCACTTCATTCTTTCTGGAGCTTCTAATACTAGCCCTCTGCTCTTCCCCAGTAGCACATTGGACATCTTCCAACCTGAGGGGCTCATCTTCAGGTGTCATATCTCTTTGCCTTTTGGTACTGTCCATGGGGTTTTCATTGCAAAGATACTGGAGTGGGTTGCCATTTCCTTCTCCAGTGGATCACGTTTTGTCAGAGCTCTCTGCTATGACCTGTCCGTCTTGGGTGGCCCTGCATGGCATAGCTCATAGCTTCATTGAGCTACACAAGCCCCTTCACCACAAGAAGGCAGTGATCCATGAAGGATATTCCAGAGATAGATGCATTTAACTTTGAGATTATGTGGCACTGGAATTGCACACAGGTGAACTCCATTCAACTACTTACACTGACTTCTGGAGTTAGCGGGTTGCACCACAGCTTTTTAGGTATGTCACATCAAAGCGGGTGAATGCTTAAATGGGCAGCAAGGGCCACTTTGGTTTGTTAACTTAGCTTTTTGTTTTGCACCTTCACAGTGTTGCATATCTTGTTTACAGCATGTACTAACAATGCCAATGGAATCCATTTTAATTCCAGGTTGTAGCACAACAATATCTGGAAAAGATAAAAGTGGGTTGAAACCTTCCTCAAGGCACTGTATGCACCCTGAATCAACAGAGAAACAAGAACCCCAGTATTGTGGTGGCAGGCTTTCACAAATAGCCTGCTCCCACAGAGGTTAGCAGAGCAGTCTATTTGCAGGAGCATGACAATGGCAGAGCTCAGTTTATTGAGTTTGTAGCTCTGCCAGGAACTAGAAAATGGTAAGAAGCCTTTTGCCCAGGCAGAACAGAAACAAGGTATGATCCACTAAGTAAGAGGAAGAGGCAACTGTTGACACTTAGTTTTAACTGATGAGAGCTTATTGATTAAAGCCAAATTTATTTGATGTCACATAGGGCTTAAATTCAGTTGTTGAGCAGCCCACAGGGTTCTTGGGCCCAGCATGGCACAAATCATTCTGCACCCCGGTTGTATGGCATATTTGCCTGTCCTCCAAGCTGTCCACCATACTCCCCAAGATCCTTTAAGGGGATTACTCCTTGTAGTAGGCAGGGTTAGAATGAGCCCGCTCTAACTCATCTGTCATCTGCACTGTAAAGTTGTAACAGAAATAACTCTATCTAACTAGATTTCTTGTCATACAACATAACAGTGTGAAAAATAGCAATCCTCAGTGGGAGAATGGTGGTCGAATGGTATTACCAGTAATGGTATTACTGGTACACAAGAATGTGCCTGGTATCTTGTGTGAAATGTTGGAGAGTATGTATGAGGGAAAAATTTGGTCAATCAAACAGTCAAAGAATGCTTAACTTTCATCAAAGAATTAAGTAATTAGAACAATTTATAAGAATGGCAACAAACTGAATCTAAATAATTAAATAATTATTCTAATTAATAATTAACTCTTCCTACCTTATTCAGCAAACTATGTAATAATGCAATGCATATCCTTGCAATTGATTCTTTTTTCTTTACTTTTCTTCCCTACTCCTCTTCTCATTGTATTACCTGACATTTCCCCAAAGATGGCCACTCCAAATGATTACTTTCGGAAAGACTGGCAGATGGTCCATGGTGTTCCTATGGTCTATGCATTCTCCTTTGAGTGGGACAGAATTGATAATTTCCAGAGCAGACCTGATGATATTCTGATATGCACATACCCAAAATCTGGTGAGTTCCCTGTGTCAGGATGGAAGAGGGAAATTTGAATTTTGTTGTCCTTCAACAATGCCCCAGATCTGGTGTCTAACGAGGTCTTTATCAAATGGCAGAACCACTTCTGGTCAGGGATTACATCCCAGCTCTGCATGCTAGGAAATACTAGGATGTGGCTTGAACTGCTTTACTTTTGGATCCAGGATTCAAGTACAATTCAGATGGACTCCTTCAGATCAATGGGGCCTGTTAGTAATTAACTTAAGTTTCCTTGATTTCAGTGACAGCCAGTATGGTTGAGAGTGGTTAGAGTGTTGAACTGGGATCTGGGAGATCCAAGCTCTAGCCCATACTTGGCCACAGGAGCTCACTGGTTGACTTTGGGCCTGTCACTGACTCTCAGTCTAAGTTACTTTACAGGGTTGTTGTGAGGATAAGATTGAGAAGAAGAGAAAGATTATGTAAGCTGACTTGAATTTTTCCTTGGAAAAAAGGGTGAGTTTTCACAACCAAATACTGTAGTGATATGTTCACATTAAGAACAAATACGCCTGGATACAGTCCTATTTACCTTGAACAGCTCTACTGATCCTAGAGAGACTCCAGGTGCTACCTGGTGATGCTTTTATTATGAAATCACTCTGCCTCCTTCACAGAATTTTACAAGGGTGCAGGAAACATCTGTTTGTACCCTTCCTGTACTTTCCTGCCAGTTCTACCATAGAAAATCCATTAATGAGAAGTAAACAGAATAGCTGCACAATATCTTTTGACTGGGAGCACTAACAGCCCTTAGTTTGGAAGTATTTTTACATTTTGGTAAATGCTACATATGTATAGGGTTGACTTACATGACTATGAGTAGTCCATTAGAAGCTTTTCCAGCAACCCTCAGTTTGCAGCCTGCAGTCCACATGCTGTGTAAGAACCTAGTGCTCATCTCAGGCCACTAATTTTCCTTCAGTTATGCCAACTCCAGGCAAGCCTAACAGGTTTTTGTTTGCTTCCAGGTACTACATGGCTAAGTGAAATTGTAGACATGATTCTGAATGATGGTGATTCTGACAAATGCAAACGGGATGCAATTTTCAATAAAATACCTATGTTGGAATTTGCTGCCCCAGGGAGGATGCAAGCAGGTACATTTGGAATTACTTAGTGAGAATTGTTGCAGTTCAGAGATCCAAGGTGGGCAGATTACTTGAGTGGAAGAACAAGATGCTTCAACTGGTACCCCCAAATTTCTGTCTTCCTGGTTTGATGTTTGGAAGAAGGCCGAAACCGCTCTGTGCTTCTCTTCCATGTCTTGAAGAATGGGAATAGAAAAGCAAAACATTTGTTCTTCTACAAGTTCATAGGTTCTGAGTATTTATTTAGGGCTTTATGTCCCAGTCATTAGCCCAGGGTTCTCAGAACAGTTATACAAGTAAAAGCCAATAAAATAGTATAACAGCAACATTAATCAATTAAAAACAATAATATCAACAATATCAACAATTTAAAAGCAAGAACACTAATCTGTGTAATCTGTATCTGTATAATAAGCATCTGCATAATCAGTAAAATACAATAGACATATTCAATGTATAAAAGAACCAAACCCTAAGTAGGTTTTCAGGGGGTACCTTTTCTGTCTCCAATCCAGTGCTTGAACTGAGAGAAAAGGGGGATGGTTTGGTCAGACTCTGTCATGTCTTCCTGAAAAGAAGTGGAATGGCATCCCATTTGATTTTGAGCACCATGTACATCAAGAGTGGGCTACATGTGGCTCATCTGATGCATGTGGTATATGCCATGAACTTGTATGCAACCACCAAATGGGCCCTGCTCCCATGCTACTGCCATCCTTGAGATCCCAGTGATTCTGTTGGCATAATACAAAGCATGCACAGAGCATATGTCTTCTTTCCCAGCAGAATGGGACCCCTGACTGCCCGTAAAACCATCTTTTGTCAGCTGCTGAGAGCACAATTATACCAGGGAACAAGGTGCACAGCCCCAGCAGGTCTTGTTTCCCAGAAACTGTCTCTGAAGAGAAACAAGGCATCTTTAGGATAGTTTGTGAAGTATCAGGTACTAAGATGCTCAATCATAAGCACAAGAAACCACCCTTCAGATATCACGGAAGTGCGGTAAGCAGGCATGCATATCATCAGTGTCTTATTTAGTAATGTGCTAACCAAAAAACAAGTGGCTTAGGTATGTTAACTGCATGAACAGAACCACTTTCAAAGAACTCGTCAATCCAAATGAAAAGTAGTTTTCAAAAGCATGATGGCATTTCTCTCTGTGTCGATAATTAAATATAGATACACTGCCCCAAGTTTCTAACATGACTGTTAATCCTAGCTCTTTGGAAAACTTGGAGTAGTCAGGAAAACAGAGGCTCCCTATTTCTCAGACCACTGAGTGACCCTTATTCACCTGTTGGCATAACAGGGCTTCCTTAGCTGGCATCTCTCAGGTCTTCCAGGAGTTTGTTTTTCTGGCTAAACCTGGGTGATGAAGGCACATGTGGAGAATAATGGTTTATCATTCAAAAGCTATTGCTCATGTGCTGACAATTGCTTTAACAAGTTGATTGTGTGCCTTACCCAGTAACACCATTTTGCTCTCCAGGGACAGAACAATTAGCTCGGATACCATCTCCTCGAATGGTGAAAACCCACCTCCCAGTTAAACTCCTTCCTAAGTCCTTCTGGGAGAATGGCTGCAAGGTAATGAACTTGGGGACCTATAGAAACATAGAAATAGAGCAAGTCAGAAGGGGTCTCCAGGGCCATCTAGTCTGATTCCCGGCTCCAGCTTGCTCCACTCATGACATGCCTACCATGTCCATGTCTAGCCTATCTTTGAACACTCTCACTGATGGGGCTTCAACCACCTCCCGTGGAAGCCCATTCCATACCCTTGGGGTCTTAACTGTCAGGAAGTACTTCCTGGCATCCAAGTTAAACCTTGGTTCCTTGAGCTTGCCTTCCTCTGCAGGAGAAAACAGGTCTCTACCCTCCTCCATGTGAAAACCCCTCACATACTTGTATGTCACCAACAGCTCGGCGTCTCCTCTTCTTCAGGCTGAAAAGACCCAGTTCCCTCAGTCTTGACTCATACGGCGTCCCTTGCAGTCCAGCCACCATCCTAGTGGCCATGTGCTGCACCAATTCCAACCTGGCTATATCCTTCCTATAATGTGGAAGCCAGAGCTGAACACAGTACTGCAGCTGAGGGTGCACCAGAATTGTATAAAGTGGTAGTAATACCTCTCTCAATCTGGAAGCCATGCTTCTGGCTATGCAACCAAGGGTAGTGTTATCCCTCTTGACTGCCACATCACACTGCTTATTCATGTTTAGCCTGCAGTCAACCAGTACCCTGAGATCCCTTTCACAAGTGCTGTTCTCCAGCCACTTGTCCCTTAACCTGTACGTATGACACCCTTTCCTTTGCCCCAAGTGCAAGACCTTGCCCTTATCCACATTGAACGCCATCCTGTTGTCCCCTGCCCACTTCCGTAGTCTGTCCAGATCCTTCTGGATCTGGACTACCTGCTCCTCAGTTGAGGCCACTGTCCCTGTTTTAGTATTGTCTGTGAATTTGATCAGCAGACTGGTCACCTCTTCTTCCATGCTGTTGATGAAAAGATTGAACAGGATTGGTCCCAGGTCAGAGCTGTGGGGTACCCCGCTCATCACTGCCACCATCCCAATGACTAATGGTAACCCTCTGCTTTCGGTCAGTCAACCATGCCCTAATCCATTGGACAATGCATTGGTCTATCCCAAAACCTCAATTTCTCAACCAGGATTTCATGCAACACTTTGTCAAAGGCCTTGCTGAAATCCAGATAAACCCCATTCTCCATGTTCCTTCCATGTAGCCACCTCAAAACCTTGTCATAGAATTCCACAAGGTTTGTCTGGAAGGACCTTTTTTTGTGGCAGCCATATTGCATGGCTGCCAACCTCCCTTCCCTATCTAGGGTTACTAGAACTCCCGCTATTATGAGCCTTTCCTTTGTCTTTTCTACAAAGGATATAAGGCTAACTGGTCTGTGATTTCCCCATGTCCCCTCTACTACCCTTTTTGAAAATTGGGACCACTGACGCCACCCTCCAGTCCTCTGGAACCTCACCCATTCTCCATGAGTCCTCAAAAATGGAGGTCAGAGGGTGTGGGAGAACCCCCGCCAACTCCTGAAATATTCTCAGGTGTAACCCTTCAGGGTCTGGCACATTTGTAATGTCCAGTGCCATGAGGAGCTCCTCAACTTCTTGGGGAGTGACTCTAATCTGTGCCCCTAAATCCCTGGCCACATCTGATCCCCCATGCAGATTCCCCTGTCCTGCTTTGGGGAGAACACAAAGGCAAAGCAGGTCATATTCTGTAAGACAAGTGGTCAGCAACTAGTTTTGCTTGCAAACTCTGTTGACAAAGGAAAGGGTGACAAGGAACCTGGTCATATCCCCAGCACTTCCAAAACAGTCTGGTGTTCCAAATGCTGGTCATGCACATCCTTCTGAGCAGCTTCACCCAGTGAGTCAAGTGCGGCCTGAAGGCAATGAACTGCTGACTCGCAGCTAAGCCATATTCCAGTGTTGGGGACTTGAATTGAGTGACTTGCTCCCAAGTCTGACTTGTCCGTGACTTGACTTGGATTTGATTTGGGAACACTGAGCAAGTGATTGACTTGAGATTTCTGCATTTTTTACAACCAGGTCACAGTCTACGTTTTTTATGGCAAAAGTCTTACTATGCAGCAGGATATCCAGGCACAAAAACAGCAGAGGTGGTGGTAGGGAGCAAGTTTTTGGCAGGAGGGAGGTGATGAGAGGGAGGGAGGAGGGGAGAGGGAGGGGTTTGCAATAGAGGGGGAATATTGCAGCTGTTTTTAGTGCACTTTGTTTTCCTGCCTGCTGCCTCTGTTCTGCTCTGCTCCAGTGTGTTTCCAGGGAGGAACAAACAAAAACAAATAAATCATTGATGATGATGGGGTGCCTCCAACGGTGGGTGTGTACTGTATACTCTGCTAAGCCATTGGAAGTGTAGATGGGGACATGGGTGGGGTACAAATCTCCCATCCCTCCACCCATCCCACCACCCATCCCTTTTTCCTTTTAAAGTTGGCTCTTGAGACTTAAGAGACTTGAGAATTGACTTGAAATTTTATAACAATGACTTGAGACTCAACTTGGACTTGAAAGTATAGACCTGATACTTGATTTGAGACTTGGAGTAGAAGACAAGAACATGTCACTGCTGTATTCTTCCCCATCCTATCAACCGGGAGGGAAATCATTATGCTGTTTCTGGGGTGATTTCAGTACCAAAAGTGCTTTCTGACAAGAGATGAGAAGACTTACTTGAATTAATTAACAGACCGGCATCCTTAGAACAATCAATTACAGGTGTCAGTGTTACCATTGGAAGAAAGTGGGAGAAAGGCTATTCCTTCTTAAAGTCAGTGGTCATTTTGAACCAGGGATCAGCTGCTAGAACAGGGGTCCTCAAACTTTTTCAAAAGGGGACCAGTTTACTGTCCTTCAGACAGTTGCGGGGGCTGGACTATAGTTTGAAAAAAAAAAGAATGAATTCTTATAAACACTGCACATTTAAAAATTAATTAAATTTAAATAAATTTAAAAATTAATCAAAATTAAAATGAATTTAAAAATAATTAACATTTTAAAAATTAATTGAAGTATTAAAAAATGTTTGATCGCTCGCTCGAAGAAGGGTGCAGCAGAGGCGTAGGAGCCCCATGGCATTCTCCAAGTAAGCTGCTCTGCCTCAGCCAACCGCCCCGGGCTCGGCGAGGCAGCGGCTTGCTTGCGAGAAGGCCATGCAGCTGGCCACCCCATCGCTTGGCAAGGCGGCGGCTTGCTTGCACAGAGAAGGCCCCATGGCTGGATACCCCAGGGCTTGCATAATTAAAAATAGATTTAAAAAGTAATATTTTACTTACTTTCAATCCTGTTTTAGTTTCTTCGCCGTCGCTGTCTTCATCTCTCTTTCTCTTCCTCCCACCTCTCTTCTGCTTCCCACTCTGTATCCCCACTCTGTATATGTGTACAATGGGGCGGGGGGGGGGAGGGGATCCAGTGCATGTGCAGTTGAGCTGTTGCAATTTGAGCATGTGCTGGCTCTCTCTCTCTGCTCAGTTTCTGAGAACACATGTGCCAGCTCAGGTTTTGGACTCGCTCGGAGATCGTTTTCTCTGAGTGAGTCCAAAACCTCTGAGGTGGGCTGGATAATGGGCATGGCAGGCCAAATCTGGCCTGCGGGCCGTAGTTTGAGGACCCATGTACTAGAACCTAGCATCTGAGGACTACTAGCTGGCCACCTAAGTAGCCAATCCAGACTGATGCATGCAAGAAACAATACATAGAAACACAGAAACAAAGAGAGTCAGAAGGGTCCTCCTGGGCCATCTAGTTTGACCCCTGCCTGCAGCCAGCTCCACTCAAGACATGCCCACCATGTGCATGTCCAGCCTATCCTTCAACACCCTCACCGATGGGGCCTCAACTACCTCTCATGGAAGTCCATTCCATACCCTCGGGGTCCTGTCAGGAAGTACTTTGTGGCATCTAAATGGAACCTTGATTCCCTGAGCTTTGCTCCGTTGGAGCGCATCCTGCCTTCCTCTGCAGGGGAGAACAGGTCTCTACCCACCTCCGTGTGACATCCCCTCACATACCTGTATGTCGCCAACAGATCCCCTCTGCGTCTCCTCTTCTCCAGGCTGAAGAGACCCAGTTCCCTCCGTCTCGCCTCATACGGCATCCCCTGCAAACCGGCCACCTACCTTGTGGCCCTATGCTGCACTGACTCCAACCTGGCTATATCCTTTCTGTAATGAGGGGCCCAAAACTGAACACAATACTCCAGTTGTGGGCGCATCAGAGTTGTCCAAAGTGGTAGTAATACCTCTCTCGATCTAGAAGCCACACTTCTGCCTATGCAACCAAGGGTGGCGTTCACCCCCTTAACCTCCACATCACACTGCTGACTCATGTTTAGCCTGCAGTCAACCAGTACCCCGAGGTCCCTTTCACAAGTGCTGTTCTCCAGCCACTTGTCCCCTAACCTGTACTTATGACACCTATTCCTATGCCCCTAGTGCCAGACCTTGCCCTTATCCACGTTGAACGCCATCCTGTTGTCTCCTGCCCACTTCCGTAGTCTGTCCAGATCCTTCTGGATCTGGAGTACTTGCTCCTTAGTTGTGCCCATTGCCCCCAGTTTTAGTATCGTCTGCAAATTTGATCAGCAGACTGTTCACTCCTTCTTCCATGTCATTGATTAAAAGATTAATCAGGATCGGCATCAGGACAGAGCCTTGGGGGACCCCGCTTGCCACTGGCCACCATCCCGATGATTCCCCACTAATGGTTACCCTCCGCTTTCAGTCAGTCAACCATGCCCTAATCCACCAGACAGTGCTTTGGTGTATCCCAGAACTTCTCAGTTTCTCAAGCAGGATATCATGGGGCACTTTGTCAAAGGTCTTGCTGAAATCCAGGTAAACCACATCCACTGCATCTCCTCCATCTAGCCATCTTGAAACTTTGTCGTAGAATTCCACAAGGTTTGTCTGGCAGGACCTGTTTTTGCAGAAGCCGTGTTGTGTGGCTGTCAGCCTCCCTTCCCCATCTAGCATCACTAGATCTCTCTCTATTATGAGCCTTTCCATTATTTTTCCTGCAATGGACTTAAGTCCGTTGTCTTATGGCTAACTGATCTGTAATTCCCCATGTCCCTTCTACTACTTTTTTTGAAAATTGGGACCAATGACGCCACCCTCCAGTCCTCTGGAACTTCACCCGTTCTCCACGAGGCCTCAAAAATGGAGGCCAGCGGGTGTGAGAGAACCCCTGCCAACTCTCTAAGTACTCTCGGGTGTAACCCGTCAGGGCCTGGCGCCTTTGTAATGTCCAATGCCCTGAGGAGCCCCTCGACTTCAAGGGAGTGACTCTAATCTGTGCCCTAACTCCCCGGCCTCCTCTAATCTCCCATGCAGATCTCCCCCGTCCTGCTTTGGGGAGGACACAGAGGCAAAATAGTCATTTGGCATCTGTGCCTGTTCCCTCATATCAGTCACTGGATCTCCTTCCTCCTTATTTAGTGGTCCCACCACTTGTCTCCCCTTCCTCTTCCTATTTACGGGCTGAAAGAAGCCCTTTTTGTTGCTCTTGATATTCTTGGCAAGTCTCAGCTCGTAATCAGCCTTAGCTTTGTGAAGAATCCTTCTGCAATGGACCTCCTCCTCCCGGTATACCCTTTTGTCTATTTGCCCCAGTACCCATTTCCTATGGAGGTTCCTCTTGTGTTTAATCCCTCTAACCACCTCCTTTCGCATCCATGGCGGTGCTCTCCTCCACCTCCCCACCTTACTGACTAGAGATATCGTCAAGGCTTGTGCCTCTAAAACCTCCCGTTTGAGTGCCATCCACCCCTCCTCAACTCGCTTGCCTTTTAGTAACCTATCCCAGGAGACTGTCCCCAGCCTGGCCTTCAGTTGGCCAAAGTTGGCCCTCTTGAAGTCCCACCTTCTAGTGCTTGACCTGCTGCATGTCCCCAGTCCCCTGATCTCAAAGCAAAGGATGGAGTGAGCTGGGGGTCAAACTTGATGGCCCAGGAGGCCCCTTCTGACTTGCTCTGTTTCTATGTTTCTATCCTACCCCTTCCCTGACATATAATGCTATGCCCCCTCCCCTCTTTCCCTTCCTGTCCTTTCTAAAGGAGGATACCCCTCTATGTTTACATCCCAGTCTTGCCTTTCATCCCACCAAGTTTCTGTGATTCCCACCAGGTTATACCCTCCTATTCCCAGGAGAGCTTCAAGCTCTTCCTGCTTATTACCCATGTTCCTAGCATTATTTCTTTAGGAAGCTTGTATGCCGCCCCATTCGCCAAAGCCTCAGGGCAGCTCACAATAATAAATAAATAAACACAATATAAAAACAATATAACATTAGTGTACATGCACCTCAATTCCTTCCCACTGCTTCCTTTCCTTGAAGTCCCCAGCCTCCTCCTTCCTCCCATCCTCCCTGATACCTGGCCCCTCTCTGTAGGAGTCCTGTCAGTCCCTGCAGTACCTCTAAAACCCTGCTCCCAGAGCCCTGATCCTCTCCCAACACTTGTCCAGTGCAGGCATGTTTCTGGGGGGCCTGAACCCCCACCCCCACCTCAGTTTTAAGTCTTCTGGACAAAGGTCACTAGATCATCTCCACATACAATATACTGCCCTCAGTTCCAGAGGAAGAGAAGCAAACTGTCACTCTTCAGCTTGATGGTTGCCCCAATTAACTGCTATACCTAATAAAGGAAAAATGTGAGTGAGTCCAACCTCAAACAACTTCGGATTAACAGCAGTCACTGACTACTCCTTGACTTTCTCCTCATGCTGTGGTCTGTCTGTCAGTTGTCCTGTTCCTTCATAAAAGCATTAATTGCTTTATCAAGGTTGCTGATATTTGTGTGTGTGCACAAATGTGCACACAGTCACAGTCACATGTGTACATATTGCTATTGTCTTATATCTTGTTGATTGTCAGAACCATGGTTGGATTTTCCCCCCCAAATCTAGATTACTTTTTCACTGGTCGAGATTCCTGTACAGTTAAAAACTGCCAGTATGGCTTAAATCTTTTTTTCTTCTTTCCTGAATGAAGGTGATCTATATGGCCCGCAATGCAAAGGATGTTGCTGTCTCCTTCTACCATTTTGACTTGATGAATAAGCTGCACCCAGATCCTGGAACGTGGGATGGTTATCTGAAGGCATTCATGGTGGGAAGACGTGAGTCCAGTCATCCTTTTGCAAATATATGGAGTTAGAAGCTTAACTTTTTCAGGAAACAAAACAGATTTTGCTCTTCTCTAAAAAAAAGGTTCTCCTTCATGGAAAACTGCCTCTCCTTCATGGATCACTGCCTTGTCATGGCGAAGGGGCTTGTGCAGCTCCATAAAGCTATGAGCTATGCCATGCAGGGCCACTCAAGATGGACAGGTCATAGCAGAGAGCTCTGACAAAACGTGATCCACTGGAGAAGGAAATAGAAAACCACTCCAGTATCTTTGCCATGAAAACCCAAAGACAGTACCAAAAGGCAATATGATATAACACTGGAAGATGAGCCTCTCAGGTTGGAAGGTGTCCAATGTGTGACTGGGGAAGAGCAGAGGGCTAGTACTAGGAGCGCCAGAGAGAATGAAGTGACTGGGTCTCAGCTGAAAGGAGACTCAGTCGCAGATGTATCTGCTGGGGAAAGGATAGTCCAATGCTACAAAGATCTATATTCCATAGAAACCTGGAATGTAAGATCCATGAATCAAGGCAAACTGGATGTGGTCAAACAAAAGATGACAAGACTGAACATCGACATCTTAGGAATCAGTGAACTAAAATGGACAGGAAGGGGTGAATTTAATTCAGATGACCAACAGGTATACTACTGTGGGCAAGAATCCCTCAGAAGAAATGGAGTGGCCTCCATAGTCAATAGAGGAGTAGGAAAAGCAGTACTGGGATGCAATCTTCAAAATGACAGAATGATCTCAGTTCAATTCCAAGGCAAAACCATTCAACATCACAATAGTCCAAGTCTATGCCCCAGCCTCTGGTGCTGAAAAGGCTGAAGTGGACTGGTTCTATGAAGGCCGACAACACCTTCTAGAATTAACACCAAAAAATGATGTCCTTATCATCATAGGGGATTGGAATGCTAAGGCAGGAAGTCAAAGGATAACTGGAATAACAGGCAAGTTTGGCCTTGGAGTACAAAATGAAGCAGGGCACAGGCTAGTAGAAATTTGTCAAGAGAATACGATGGTCATAGCAAACACTCTTATCCAACAACCCAAGAGACGACTCTACACATGGACATCACCAGACGGTCAACACAGAAATCAGATTGACTATGTGCTCTGCAGACAAAGATGGAGAAGCTCTATACAGTCAGTAAAAACTAGAACAGGAGCAAACTGTGGCTCAGATCATGAGCTTCATTTTGCAAACTTTAGGCTTCAATTGAAGAAAGTAGGGAAAAGCACAAGGCAACTCAGGTATGACCTAAATCATATTCCTGATTAATATACAGTGGAGGTGACAAATAGATTTAAGGAATTAGATCTGATAGACAGAGTGCCTGAAGAACTATGGACGGAGGTTCACAACATTGTACAAGAGGTAGCAACTAAAGCCATCCCAAAGAAAAAGAAATGCAAGAAAGCAAAATGGCTATCTGAGGAAGCTTTGAAAATAGATGAGGAAAGAAGGGAGGCAAAAGGCAAGGAAGAAAAGGAAAGATACACCCAACTGAATGCAGAATTCCAGAGAATAGCGAGAAGAGATAAGAAGGCCTTCTTAAATGAACAGTGCAAAGAAATAGAAGAAAACAATGGAATAGGGAGGACCAGAGATCTCTTCAAGAAAATTGGAGATATGAAGGGAACGTTTCATGCAAAGATGGGCATGCTAAAGGACCAAAATGGCAGGGACCTAACAGAGGCAGAAGAGATTAAGAAGAGGTGGCAAGATTACACAGAAGAACTATGTATACAAGAAAGAGCTTAATATCCCTGATAACCACAATGTGGTGATCACTGACCTTGAGCCAGACATCCTGGAATGTGAATCAAATGGGCCTTAGGAAGTCTGAGCAACAACAAAGCTAGTGGAGGTGACAGTATTCCAGCTGAGCTATTCAAAATTTTAAAAGATGATGCAGTAAATGTGCTACTCTCAATTTGCCAGCAAATTTGGAAAGCTCAGTAGTGGCCACAAGATTGGAACAGGTCAGTTTACATTCTGATCCCAAAGAAGGGCAATGCCAGAGAATGTTCAAATTACCACACCATTGCACTCATTTCACATAATAGCAAAGTTATGTTCAAAATCCTACAAGCTAGACTCCAGCAGTATGTGGACCGAGAACCACTGGCAGGCAGGATTTCGAAGAAGGAGCAAAGCTAGAGATCAAATTGCCAACATACGCTGGATCATGGAGAAAGCTAGGGAGTTCCAGAAAAACATCTACTTCTGCTTCATTGACTATGCTAAAGCCTTTGATTGTGTGGATCACAACACAATGTGGCAAGTTCTTAAAGAGATAGGAGTACCAGACCATCTTATTCGTCTCTTGAGAAACCTATATGCGGGTCAAGAAGCAACAGTGAGAACTGGACACGGTACCACTGATTGGTGCAAAATTGAGAAAGGAGTTCGGCAAGGCTGTATACTGTCGCCCTGCCTATTTAATTTATATGCAGAGCACATCATGAGAAAGGCAGGCCTAGATGAATCACCAGCTGGAATTAAGATTACTGGGAGAAATATCAACAACCTCAGATATGCAGATGATACCACTCTAATGGCAGAAAGTGAAGAGGAACTAAAGAGCCTCTTGATGCATGTGGAGAGCGCAAAAGTTGGCTTGAAACTCAACATTAAGAAAACTAAGATCATGGCATCCGGTCTTCTCACTTCTTGGCAAACAGATGGGGAAGAAATGGAGTTAGTGACAGATTTTATTTTCCTGGGCTCCAAGATCACCACAGATGGGGACTGCAACCAAGAAATTTAAAGACGCTTGCTCCTGGGGAGGCAAGCTATGGCAAATCTAGACAGCATACTAAAAAGCAGAGACATCACCCTGCCAACAAAAGTGTGTATAGTCAAGGCTATGGTTTTCCTAGTTGCAATGTATGGCTCTGAAAGTTGGACCATAAGGAAGGCTGAGCACCAAAGAATTGAGGCCTTTGAATTGTGGTACTGGAGGAGACTCCTGCAAGTCCCTTGGACAGTAAGGAGATCAAACCGGTCAGTTCTTGAGGAGATCAACCCTGACTGCTCTTTAGAAGGCCAGATCCTGAAGATGAAACTCAAATACTTTGGCCACCTAATGAGAAGGAAGGACTCCTTGGAGAAGAGCCTAACGCTGGGAACAATAGATGGCAATGGAAGAAGAGGACAGCAGAGAATGAGGTGGCTAGATGGAGTCACTGAAGCAGTCACCATGAACTTAAGTGGACTCCAGGGGATGGTGGAGGACAGAAAGGCCTGGAGGAATGTTGCCATGGAGTCGCGATGAGTCGGACATGACTTCGCAACTAACAACAGCAACAAATAAAAGGTTCCCTGTGTCAAATCCAATGTAATATCCCTTTATTCTGTGAATGAGAAAGAATGGAAAGCCATGTGTTTTTGTGAGGTCTGTAGATCCGACTAACTGGTGCTGAAGATAGGCATGCCACTGTTATAGCAGCAAGGCTGACCTTTTCTCTTCAAGCTGAGGTGGGTGGAAATTGGGGGAAAATATTCTCCAAGTTTCAGGCAAAAGAGCTAGGTATGCTCAACACCAATTGGCAAATTTTCTTCTCTGGTTGTCACAATGGGCCGAACTATCAATTACATGGAGCAAAGAGGAGCTCCCTTCCCATGCTAATAGCAGCCACAGCAGGTAGTTAAACTACTCTCCCCCCCATTCAGGGTCCTAATGTTGAATGAACTGGCTACTGAAACAATTAACTTGCATTCAAGGGCATCCATATCCTCAGCACTTTTTTTTTTTTTGCTTAACCCTAAGAAATTTCAACCTCCAATTCTAGGACAAGTTTTTCACTTTTAAAATTTCTGTTTTAATTAACAAACTAGCAGTTGAACAGCTAGTTTCCTTTCCCTCACCTCAAAATGTTATTAATATTCCAAATATGGGTAGAATCCATTGGCTGCTGGAGATTTTTTTTATGTGCCTTCAAAATAGCATATTATATATAGTCTTTTTTCATAAAGACATTGACAGATGTTGCTGTGTACATCTCTGATTTGTATGTGAACTAACTTGTACTGTATAAAAATCAGGTATTTTGACTTTAAAATTAAATAATTCCAGTGGCTACATCCGTTTTTCTTCCATGGCCTTTACCACAGCTCCTTGTACCAAGGCTTCATTGTTACAAGTACTACAGTTCTCCCTCTTGTAGCTCTTCCCCTGTGAGCTGCCATCAGCAAGGACACAATTCCTTAGACATATCTGCATTCTGTTTATCCCATATTGTTAACAGAGCCAAAGGAGGTGTGACATGTAATTTGATGTTTACTGTTTATCACTTCTGAAAATATCATGTTCCAGTACTGTCACACAACAGAATGTAGTCAATACATATGAACCTTGCTTGTTGCAGTTTCTCCAACATTTTATATTTAAGCATCAGATAAACAGGCCCTACAGTGATTTTTAAAATATGAATATGGCCAACTCACATGATGTATGATGCAAAGGGCAATCCTATCATTGGACTAGTGTTTAATCTGTTGTTATGCAGTCCTATAAATTTCAGTTGTGAAAGAGTTGTCCTTGCACCAGAATTGATAGATTTACTGGGCTAGTTTGAATGCCATGGTAGTCCATTGTGGGCTAATTATCCCTTGAATGGCCATTGTGTGTGCTGTCTGCTATTATGAATATGCAACCTGCAACTGGGGGTGGCCCTTGCTTGCCATATCATGTGAACATGGCCAGGGAGGGTTAAGACCTGGACAGTCCTTACATAATCCCAGTCTGTTCTAAAGGTTGTTTAAAACACAAATCACCCTCCTAGTTGGGTTTGCAGTACACCCACAGCAACCCCCAGCTGGGCTTTGCATCTCCATAATGGTGGATAGCATGCCCTGCAGCCTCTTGTGGATTAAGACTATCCTAATTTCCATGGGATTAAGTATTGTTAACTGTGGAATGGTGTGTTTTCTGAACTACATCACTGTGTGCTGTGTTTTAGATTTCACCTGTCATCACTCAACTGTTCTAGTAATTATGCCCAGTTTATGTGGTTTGCATGTATCTGTATAGCTATAGTGATTGTACAGTTTTCAGTGATTTTATACTGAACTGCAGGGGAGCTAGACTCTATTTTTGTCATCATTCTGGAAGTTAGAGTCACTGGTTCCATTCCTACTTGACTGACCAATTCCAGAAGGTGATGCTAGGGGATCATTGCTCTGTGCCATGGCAGTTATGTCATGGTCTACCACAGGGCTCTATTTTATCCCCATGCTTTTTAACATCCACATGAAACCACTGGGAGAGGTCATCTGGAAGTATGGGCTGAAATCTCACCAATATGCAGATGACACTCAGCTCTGCCTCTCTTCTTCATGAAATCTAAGTGAAGCAGCGGCTGCTCTGAATCAGTGCCTGGGCCTGGTAATGGACTGGATGAGGGCCAACAAACTGAGACTCAGTGTAGAAAAGACAGAAGTGCTATTGGTAGGTGGTTCATCTGCCCAGTCAGGAGGAATTCAGCCTGTCCTGGATGGGATGGCACTCCGGCTAAAAGACAGGATTCATAGGTTGGGTGTGCTCCTGGATCCTGAATTGTCACTGGGGTCCCAGGTGGACTCAGTGATAAGGAGCATCTTTTATCGGCTTAGGCTGATTTACCAACTATGACTCTATCTGGTCAGGCAGAGCCTAGCAACAGTGATCCATGATCTGGTAACCTCTTGCTTGGACTATTGTAACAAGCTGTATGTGGGGCTGTCTTTGAAAATGGTTGAAGACTTCAGTTGGTTCAAAATAGAACAGTGGGGCTGCTAATGGGAACTAGCTGACAAGAAAACATCATGCCAGTCCTCTATCAATCACACTGATAATCAGCTGAGGTTCAGGTTTAATTCAAAGTGCTAACAATAACATTTAAAGCCCTAAACAGTTTGGGGTCTGGTTATCTGAAGGAGTGGCTCCTCTGTATGGGCTACTTGAACCCTGAGATCCATCTCAGAAAGCCCCCTCCAAAGGAAGCAAGGAGGGTGGCTACTAGGGGAAGGGCCTTCCTGGTTGTGGCACCCCGTCTGTGGAATCAGCTTCCCAAAGAGGTACACCTGGTGCCCACTCTGTGTTCCTTCCAGTGCTAGGTAACCCCCTTTTTATTTTCCTAATATTTTATTAGTTAGACTTTTAGTTCCATTTTGTGCTGTATTTTACTACTTTACCTCCAAATTGATTTAGGTGCAGTTATGGCAGATGGATCTTTGTTTTATTGTTATTACCATAGTTTATACTAATAGTTTTACTGTATTTTTATAAAGATTGTTATTGCAACTTTGATCTTGTGCACTACCAAGGGAGCATTTTGGCTGATGGGTGGTGCAGAAATTACACAGACATATACACACACACAGACCTGCCCTTTGGCAGATTCCATTTAATTTTGAACAGCAGTGCCCTAACCTCAGAAAGAGCCTCCTGAAAGAGGAATGAAGGAAACTGAGCCAGCTCAGCTTTATTCTGAGGGGCTCTGCCACTGATGTCATGAGTGGGACCCTATCCCATTATGCCATTTTGCCCATGGAAGATTGGGGATGGCACTCCAATTCATGACTCCAAGCAGTTTGCCACCCTACATTAACTCATTGTACTACTCAAACATCTAGATTTTAATCTTGTTCCTTTTCTTTGCAACTATCCTCTTTTTACTTGACAATGTCTGCTTATCTCTTTCTCAAAATCTAGTTGCTTTTGGCTCCTGGTACAATCATGTGAAAGACTGGTGGAATAAGAAGAATGACCATCCCATATTATACCTATTTTATGAAGACATGAAAGAGGTAATGAGACAATAAATGCATTCTTTTCATTTTATGAGTGAGATGACAGAAGAAATACATTGTACAGATGGATATAAATTGCTTTTTTTGTATAAAATTTTAGGAATTGGATCTCCAGATTGATTGACAGTGCACTTTAGGGCTGGGAAACAGATGTTTGGTGGAGGAACCAGATGATACCCCGCTGCCTTCTGTGGGATGAATGACATCGGGGGCCACCACTGACATAATTTGATTCTAGGCTGATGCACCAGAAGGAACTCCTTCCAGGGTCTCGGCTGGGAACCACTGACACTTTATGCAGTGCTTCCCACATTAAGAAAGACTGGCCACAGTAAAGTCCTGGCAACTGGCTTTGGCTGCTGCACATCTCACATAGGCTGAGGGTGCAGAGGAGGTGAGGCACTCATGTTCAGTGGTTGCAGAAGTTCCTGATGAGAATGCAGAGGACTAGGCCTTGCAATAAGTGGTAGTGGAATGCTTGGACTGGCTTTTCTCATTCTTTACTTCTTAGTGCACAAGCAGCTTAGCTCTTGCTTGACATTGTCTGGGTGGAGAATGGGAAGCAGCAGTGAAGTGACCTAGCTAGGACTTGAAATCCCCCCCTGCAAATACTGGCTGAGTTATTGCCTGTTGTTATCCCCCATCACAGACTGGAGATAGTGTGGGAATTCCTCACCCTGCTTCCTTCTCAAGCTTCCAGTAGCCTTTAGGCTGTTGGTGAAGATTCCATCTGTTCAACTGGAGAATTTGCAACCTATCCTGGATGGGGTTGTGCTCCTGCTTAAGGATAAAGTTTGTAGCCTTGGAGTGTTCCTGGATCCTGAGTTGTCACTTGTAGCCCCGGTGGACACAGTTTCTAGAAGCACTTTTTATCAGCTTTAGCTGATCTATCAGCTGCATCCCTACTTAGATGAGCAGAGCCTTGCCATGGTCATGCATGCACCGGTAACCTCCTACTTGGAATACTGTGATGTGCTCTGCGTGGGGCTGCCTTTGAAAATGGTCTGGACCATGCAACTGTCCAAAATTGGGCAGCATGCCTGCTGACTAGGACTGGTATTTGTGAGCATATTACACTGGTTCTAGGCAGGCTTGGGGCCACGCTATCTAAGGGAATGCCTTTCTCCATATATACCAGCCTGGTCACTGCAGTCTGCATCCAAAGCTGCCCTCTGTGTTCAAGCTTTCTCAAATATAGCACCTTTGGAACTTGATGCCATTGGAAGTCTGGTTGGTGCCTAGTTTTTTTGGCCTTCAGGCGCAAACTAAAAACTCACTTGTCCCATAGTTATTTTAATTAGGTGAATTCTGGAATTTTAATTAATGTTTTAATCTTAATTTTATGTTATTATGTGCTGCTGCCAATATGTTTTAAATGCTGGATTTTTTATGTAATTAATGTTAATGGGTTTTTGTCTTATTTTTGGGTTGTATCTATACATTTTATTATTTTTATTTTATTTTTTATTTTATTGAATTCTCATAGTATATTGATGATTTTATTGTTATTGGTCTTTTAGTTGTGTATTGTCAAGTTGTGTTTTGCATTGTCTTATGAATTTTATATGATGTAAGTCACTCAGAGAGCCTATGGCTAGTGGGCTGGCATATAAATCAAATATATAACAACAACAACAACAACAACAACAACAACAACAACAATAGACCAGGGCAGTACTTGGGGAGAAGACAGGAACCAATGGGGATGCCCCATCCTCTATGGGCAGTATTGGGAATATCCACAGGCCAGATTAGGCCTGTGGTCCAGAGGTTGCCCATCTATGGTTCATTTGGTCCAGCACAAAGATAATGGGTGTCTTTTCTTTTCTACTCTGTGGGGTTTTATATAGACAGCAAAGCTTACTAAAACCAAAAACACCATTTCTTGAAGGAATATCTTGAGGTCCATAGCAATGCTGATGCCATTTCTGTGCCTTAATTCATAGGATCCCAATCGTGAGATTAAGAAACTCATGCAGTTTTTGGGAAAGGACCTGGAACAATCAGTTGTGGATAAGATAGCCTACAGCACACGCTTTGAAATTATGAAGGATAATCCTACTACAAACTATAGGATGGTTCCAGCTGCTGTGATGGACCAAAGTATCTCCCCATTCATGCGCAAGGGTAAATATTTGTTTCCATATTCATTAGGCCATTATTCCTTTGCATTTAATTGGGCCCAGAAAGTGATTTTTTAAAAAAATATTGTTAACAGCAGGTGCTAAACTAACTAATAAACCCTAATACTGTCAAATGGTATCATAATACAGGCGCCTTTTCAGATTATTGTTAGAAGGAAAGACCACATGCAATTCTTTCCCTACCACATTTACACACCAGATCCAAAATAACCTCCAAATGTAGACAAGGAAGCCCTTACTTCCCAGCTGGATTCAGTGGGCCTTCAACACTTAAGGCCTACTTTTATTGATTAAAGCTTAATTGCTTAATCTGGCAGTTATAGCCAGTGCTTTTTTTGTAAGAAAAAAGGTGCCAGAACTCATGAAATTATTTACCTTTCACACGTAGTCAATTACAGTACACACACCCACACACATCAGTTGTGTAACGTGTCAGAATCCCAGAATCTCAATTTGTGAAGAGGGAATAAAACTCGGGTTCGTGGGAAAGACCAAGCGTCCAGCTCATCTGAGGCTTTATTGTATTTACCCCAAGGTTCCCGCGGTACTCTCACGATAATGCATGCATTACTGGGCAGGCAGAGATGAACTCTGCTGCAAAGCTTCAACACAACTAGAAAGTTTTTATACACTCCCAGTCACATACAGGTACAGGGCAATCGATGACAGAATGTAGAGATAAGATTCTGAGGTCATCACATACAGAACAGATAAAGAAATGTCAGTCAATCACACAGTAACAATGAGATTACAATATTTCTAATTGCCTGTATTGACACTTTAGTTCAGTAGCTTGAACCCATCTCCAGGTCTGCTTGGACATGTAAATTCAAGCTACTGAGAAACTATGCATGATAAGCTCAAGACTCCTATCTAGACTCTAGACATTCTGAATTGGCCAGGGCACATGGAGCCTCTGAGCTATCAAAAGATACTTCCTTGTAAACTGAATTCCAACAATGACTATTTACAATGTATATTTGGACTGAATGGCCTGTCTACTGTAGCCCACAGCTAAAGGTGAGAGAAAGGAGTGGGGGAATTCCATTTGTAACAGTGACAGCTTGGTTTTGAGAAGGAAGACAAGATTCGATCCCACAGTGCAAAGGCACACAAAAAAGTAATGCTTTTCAGACAGGATTCATCCAAATTTTCCCAACAAACAAAACATAACAGTTGCTGCCCACAGTAAGCACGTGACCACACAGCCAATCACAAGCTGAGCAGCGCCACAAGCTGAGCAGCACCATCACAACCAGTGCGGACGAAGTACGCATGCATTGGATTAGACACACAAGCAGCCCGCATGCACCATTTTAATGATTTTGCCGCCAACCTGCTACGCTCAAGAGGGCAATTCGAATCCACGTGGACCAAACATCACATTTTCAAAAGTTACTTTTAAAACTTGGAAAACCTGTTGAAAAAAGGTGCTGGAACTCCGTTCCAGTGTGTTCTATGACAAAAAAAGTACTGGTTATAGCACGAATTCTTGTGCTCTTCACCCTTTATCTTCCAGAAAGCCATCTAGGGTCTGATTCACATTCTTTCACTTTCTAGGAATTGTTGGAGACTGGAAGAATTACTTTACTGTGGCTCAAAATGAAACATTCGATCAAGATTATAAGAGGCAAATGGAGGATACAACACTACAATTCCGAACACAGCTCTGAAGTACATTGAAACAACTGCTACATTTCTATACAGAATCTTTTAGTAGAGATTTTAATCTCCTGAGAGCCTGCTAAATTAAAGGCAATTTTCTGACTTGGAAGTTTGTGTGATGCATGTCTGAAAAATGTCCCAATGCTGGACAATGGGGTGCTTACCCACCTACCAACCCTTTCCCACTAATTCCTTTGCTAAACAGTGAATCTCACTGACTGTGTTGCACAAGTGGGACCATTTACCCAGAAGAAATTTAGCACTTCCTAAGAAAAGCTCTCAAATGCTTGTTTCAGGTTTCCCCAGAAGCATTAAGTTGCTGATGCTCAAGCAGCGGGGTGGAAAATAACTGGTGGAGGCAGAAGTAGTCTGTTGGATTCACCTGGTAGCTGGAACAGTGCTGAGGGGCAAGATCTTGCATGAACTACATTCTCCCCCGGGTCATGTTTCTCTGTCAATAGGCCTCTCTTTTGGCCATTTGAAGCTCAACACACATTTACCATAGCCATTGAAGTAGGAGCCATTTTAATTTTTTCATCAGTCTTTTATTTAACAGAAAACATCTGTGTATATTTTGGTTTTGAGAGAAAAAGTATTATAGTAGTATAATACCATGATGCAAACACATTGGCAATGACCAGAAAGGTTTTAATTTCTTTAAATAGCAGTCTGGTATTAGGGTGCTATAATGCTATATTTATTTTAAATAACTGGAAGTGTTGCAGTACGAATTAAAGTATCAACCCTTTAAAAGGGAGTGAGAAAATAACTTTTACTTCAAAGGTTATTATCAGGTGTCATTTTGCCTGCCCAGTCACTGCCCACATAGAAACAAAGTGAATCAGAAGGGGCCTCTAGTTCATCTAGTCTGACCCCCAGCTCCAGCCAGCTCTGTTCATGTAATCCCCAACATGTAGTTGCCATTTGCACTACAGACATTGAATTACTGCATTTCTTTAAAAGGTTGGCATTTTAGTATAAGTTTCAGGGTGGGTGGGGGAATGCAAGAACTGTAGGGAAAATACAAGATGACCTTGAATGGATGATATCATATGGGAATGTGTTACAGTGTGCATGGGTTCCTGAAGGCCTAAGAGACCCAGAAGAAAATGGAGAATCAAGGAGCATGATGGGACTGATCAGAACTGAGGTATTTTTGCACAGCAAAACTGAAAGCCAGGAGTGGTTCGAGAATGGAACATATTAGATAAGATAAGCCCACCATGTAGCATCCAGAGAGAGAATGGAATGTGGTGAACATGTTTTTCCAAGATAAGGGAAGACCAGTACATCCTGTGTCTGTTTTTGCCCAGATGAGCTCACTGTTTGAACCAGTTTGGACTAGGTGAGGTATAAAATGCCTGGGCTTTCCAGCTCCCATGTGTGCCAGGATAGCATTGCAACTGGGCACCCACAGTCCTTGCCACCGCTTGATCACTGCTGAAGAAGGGTTCATTGGTTGTGTGTGAGTATTGGATGACCGCGAGTGTGAATGAGGCCTCTCTTGATATTGTTGCTGATGATTGCTAAATTTGTATTCTTATACTTTTGTATTCTTTATATCATAGAATAAATATTGTGTTTAAAGCCAGATCTGGCATTCAGTCTCTCTTTGCTAGGGGCTTTCCTGGGAAACCTGATAGTCTCCTCTTTACTGGATCAAGGACCGTTTATTTCAGTCACAAATGCTCTGTAAAAGTGAACATATCATGGTAATTTGACACTAAATGCCTAATACAGAAACACCCACAATATGAGTATAGAACCATTGTTTTAATTCAATTCAGGGCTTAAACTAGAAGAGCAATGACTTTGCAATGCCAAGGACTACAATTTCATTACATCAATAAACCTATACAATGCATACTTCTAGACTCAGTGAAAACACTGGTCTACAAGGAGAAAGCCTCGAAAAAGAAAGTAGCTCAATTTTGCCAGATTTGGGTCACTAATAAAGGAATATTAAGTCCTGAGTATTAATTGGCTCCAGCTTCCAAGATACAGCTTCAGGTAAAAATTGCATCAAAATAATTCAAAATTATGAGGGGGATGTGCAATTATGCTCCATAACTTTTCTGCAAAATGTGATTTAGCAATGAGAATGGTGCCACACCAGTCATTGTAAAGTAATCTTTTTATTGAACTTTCCATTCATTAATTCATGTAACACTTTCATGCATTTTGCATGAAAAACTGATAAACTCTAACATCAGATTAACTGACAAGGCTCCGTCTTTATTCAATATCTAAACTGTGTTTTTTGGCTTTTTTCTTGTGAACTGCAGTAGGATCATCCCCGGAGAGATTCCAGCAGTAATCGGCAAGCATGGACGGATTCCATTTCCCTTGGCATCTTTTCTCCATGCCTGCAATATCCTGGTGGAATCTCTCCCCGTGTTCATCACTCACTGCCCCACAGTTCAAAGGGAAATAGTCTAAATGTGAGTGTAAGAAGTGAATTTTCAGTGACATATTTGCACCAAGTGCTTTATAGGACCTAAGCAAATTTTCCACGTGTTTTCATAATCATCTGCCTTGCTGTTCCCAACTCCAACTATGATTGGTGGGTTCCCTCCACACCATTGGGACTGTGAAAGACAAGGACTGTTTCTTCTAGTTTAGCCAATGATGCAGATAAGTTGCACACGTAATGCAACAATAATGAGGGGCCCAACTCTTGTCCTGATCCCCTATTTTGCATCCAAAATATAGGTGGTATGCCTTTTTTTACCACTGCTGTCATGTCATACTGCACTTTTGAGATGCAAATGTAACCTTGCCACAAATGTAGCAGAAGTTATCTGCATTGCTTACACAGTTGCGAGGCATCTTGGCTTCTGAGGGAAAATATCACGCAACTGTTCCTTGGAAATGTTAGGCAATGGCACTTCCACAAGCCACCAGATGTACCTGTGTGATGCGTAGATCTGACCAAGACAAATGGACCTTGCAATAAAAGAACAATAAATTACAGTTAGGTAATAACCTTTAGTCTCAAAGTGAAGATAAATTTATACATTTCCATGTGGTACCATTTTCATTGTTCTATCGTACTTTGTTGAGAAGTTACAAGGCATCATGATCATCAGACACCTCCCTCCCTTGTAGGCAAATATACTCATCTGTGTATAAATCTTTATTGTGAAATATCTTGAAAACCTTAGCCAACCAGCACCTTTACTGCCTGTTTTCTAATTCAAGTAATCAAAATATGTAAGAATTAGCACATTTTATCTCAAAGGCTGATAATTTCCCAAAATTTGTGGACCAGTGAAATCAGTGTCATTTGTGGTTTTTATAGAATTTTAGCAAACTTAGAAATTGGTTTTTTATGTTTTACTATAAAAATGACATGACTACTTCCTCACACCTCTTTCTAACACCCTTTGTCTTGTTTTAACAAAAGCATACTATAAATTAACAGAAAAAAATAACATTTTAAACCACCGTTAAACATGCTAAATGTTTGAATTAAAATGATAGTGGGGAATCAGGCTTGCCCTACTTCCTTCCAACATGCACCAAACCTCATCCACCCGAGTGCATGAACATGTAGCCTCACTGCCCAAACCTAAAATTCAAATTATGATCTTATGATCTGGGCTATCTCTAAACATGAGAGTACAAAGTATAGTCACCAAAAGGGGCTTAGGTTGGCAAACCAGGAGATTCCTAATGCTAAACATGTATTCATTTAAAATACTCTGAAGAACGGTAGACTATACAATTTAACAGTGAAAAAAATTAGTGGAATGTGACCAATGCTATTTTCTTACTAGCAACACACTCTCAGTTATGGAGCTGAGTACATTTCCATTAGCCATCCCAAGTTTCAAAGTAATATCTTGGAGTATTCTCAATAAGAATGTTTATCCCAAATAACTTTTAAACTTTATCAGAATGAAAGTTATTATGGGCAGTTCAGTTTGCCAATGACTTATTTTTAAGTGCCTTTCAGCTCTGTGATCATGAAAACATCTTAGACAAGCACTAATAAGAGCAGCTTCTGTTATAACTGCCTGAAATGACCACCACTTGACCTCAGAGAACAGTTTGGGAAGCCCTTCCACACATCAGGGCTAGGTCTACCATTAGGCAGTGTGATATGGCTGCTGCAGGGAATAGATTTTAGGTGTCTTGAAATGGCAGCAAACTGTAACTCTCCCCCGTGCCAGGAATTCGGGGAGATGTTTGTGAGATTTTCTGCTCCATGTGTCAGTAATTTGTTTGGCTTTTTGTATTATACATCTTATCAGGAGCAGCGGGGGACACTGCTGCTGTACCTTAGGCAGGGAAAATGTGTTCTGCTAGCTCTCTGCGGGGATATTGAAGTCCTGCAGAGAAAGCAGAAGTGAGGAATTGCATGCCAGGACCTCTTGAAGAGACCTAGTCTACCTGAGAGATTTTTGTTCTGATTTTTATAAAATTTGTTTAGATGCCCTGTGAATATTAGGAGGGTGAGTACCCGGAGGAGGGCTTTCTCTGCGGTGGCGCCCCATCTATGGAATGCGCTCCCCAGAGAAGTCTGCCTGGCGCCGTCGTTATTTGTTTTTCGGCGCCAGGCTAAGACCTTTTTATTTAAAACTTATTTTAATTGTTAAATTATTTAATTAATAGAATTTTAAATTTTTAGCTGAGAATGCACCAGGGGTTTTTAAACAATTTTTTAAAAAATTGTTGTATTGTTATTATTTATGTATTCTTTGTGAGCCGCCCCGAGGCTTTGTTGCGATGGGGGTGGCATAGAAATGTTTTAAATAAATAAATAAAGGCACAATCCTATACAAGTTTAGACAGGAAAACATCCTACAAGTTCAAGCATCCCTTCATCCAGCCATACTGGCTGATGCATGCTGTGAGTTGTAGGACTCCCCCACCCTTGTTTAAACATATATAATATTTTAAAATTGTACGCCCGCTGAGGGTCCTTGTTAGAAAGGTGGTGCATTAAATAACAAAACCAACATTGTGATCACGGTATGTGATATTATGCGTGGGATTTCAGTCTGAGTGGGTTGCTACACTCTGCCTTGGGCTCTTTTTGCTTAACTCCTTCTGGCAATGGCTGTTTAAACAACTCCCAGCTGCTCTATCCCTGGGCGTTTCGTGTGCTGTCCAAACTTGGAGCTTTTGCTTGCTTGGGTTATTTGGACGCTCACATTGTTGGCAGGGGTCAAACGGGAGCCCTTGAGTCGGTGATCTGCACTCTTTGCTCTCGCCTGTGTGACCTTCAGTGAAGAGACAGCATAGATTGGGAAAAACTGCAGTCAGTCACAGATCGGTTCCATTGTTTGTTGTCTGCATCTTTCAACTCTTTTGGCTTGAGTGGTTGTGATAATTGCAGAATAATTGCAGAAGCACTTTTAGCCTATTAAATAATGAGCAAGTGTTTTTAAAGGCAGAATGCCTTGGTTGCAAATTGCGTGCAATCTAACAAACAATTGTGACTAAGACCCACTGTACTTCATCATCGTAATGAGTTTTTATTGAATTTCGTCTTGTATGTAACTTGGTAAGCAGCAGCAACTTAACAGACTTTTACTCAGTAACGTGTGCTTTTCCTGCTTCTTTTAAAAACTTAATTGCAATAAATCACTTTGACTAGGATTAGCCCTTTCCGTCGCCCGCCTACGGGCTTGCACAGCGCAAATAAAGAAATTTGCCTCTCTCTCCCTGCCCCGTCACTTCGCCAGTGCCGTAGTTTTGTGTCCCTGCAATTTCGGCGTAAATGTTAAAAAAAAAAGTTGCGTTTCCTCGATTGCACAGTGCGTCATTGCTACTCCGAACACAAGGGACAGAAGTTGATTTCCAAGATACTAGTACTCAAACGTGTTCGGAAATTCCTCCGTTAAGGTCTGAAAGGACCGATTTGCGTGAGACCTGTTTTTTCAAGCAGATGCTGAGGCGGAAGCGAAGTACGCCTAAATTAAGCTGCGCTGTCACCCTGCGTCTGAGAAAGAGTGCGCTGATGTCACAAAGCTGTGTCTTTCCTTCCCTTTCTCAGCTAGCACACAGTTTCTTTCGACATATGGTTATTATTTTAAACTTGGATGCAATCCTATGCAAGTTAAGATTAAAAAAGGCGTACAATTCCCAGCATTCCCCAGCCAGCATACAATTCCTAGAACGCTGGCAGTGGGCGCATTTTCTTCCGTTTAAACAGGCAGGAGATGGCAGCGTAAGCGAGGCTATACGTGAATGGAATGCAACAGTGAGAGCCTTTAAAGCTGGTCAAGTCTTGCTCCAATCCCAGACTCGGAGTGGCTGTTTCCACACACCAGTTGCTTCTTTTTTGTTTGCTAGGCTCCCCACAGCTTATGAACATTGTCTTTCCCAATTGCACAGAAGCAGTAGTGAATTCGGCTAAACGCTTTCTTCGGCGAAGTTGTCATTTTGCCGGAACTAGATGAACAGAAACTCGAGGCAGCTCCTTTCTTGTTCGTCCTCCTCATAGGGGAAGAAGACCCAGGCCCAGAGGAAGGAGACAGCAGGACCAACGACAGAATTCTGATTGGGTGACGTCAAAAAGCCCCTCGGTGACGTCTCGCCCGCTGTCGTGCAGACTTGTCCTTGGCGGAGCTGGCAGAATGTTGGAGGTGCTCAGTGTCGGGCCCAGGGGGAAGACAGCCACCAGCACCCTTTGGCTGCTGCTCTGTTACCAGCTACATGCGGGGCTAGACCGGGTGCTGAAAACATGGGGAAGAATAAAGGTGAGCAGTAGTGTGGGAAAAGCCTTCTATGAATATCTGATTGGTTATGCGGGGAGAGGAAGAGAAGATAATTCAGGGGGGAAGAAAGCAAACAAGCTGTGTCGTGATCCATGAAAAAAGATCCAAAATCCACAATTGGCCAATATGTTTATTAGGACCAACCCAGACTACATCCAAATGTTCTCCATTCCTGCAGAACTCTTCATCAGGCTAGAGCGAACAAAAAGGCTGGGGAAAGGGAAACAATTTTTTTTTTTACAACCTTGCTTTAATAAATAATTCTGAAGAATTCAAGAGCTTTAGCATTTTTGTGGAATTTTGTCTGCTTCTTGTAAAGATAGTGCCCAACTGTGGATTTTGGATTCCATGTTCAGAAGCAATACCATTCTTGCCACCAAAAAGGAGGGGGGGAGAAAGAGAAAGCTAGTGGTTATAGTGTTGAAATAAGATTATGGACACCCAGGTTGAAATCCCTGCTCGGCTATGGAACTCTCCAGATCTCCCTGGACCTAGCAGTCATTGCTTCACAGGCTAACCTGCCACAGAGGACTATTAAGAGGATAAAAGTGAGGAGAGCACTACCTTTCCCTAATTCCTGATGCTTTGATTTGAACTTTCTTTATATTCATTGGAGAGGGAAATAAACTTAAACCTGCTGAAGGAACCAATTTAAGAGAATCAGTGTGGTGTGGTGGTTAGAATATTGAACTGGGCCTTGGGAAATCCAGGTACCAGTCTCCAGCTGGCCATGAAGCTCACTGAGTAACCTTGGGCTAGTCGTTTGCTCTCAGGATTGTGAGAATAAAATGGAAAAGAGGAGCACTATATAAAGCTGCTTGGTTCTTTTCAGGAGAAAGGGGAAAAAAAAAGATAAAAAATATTTTTGTTCCATGTGGTCTAGGGATACTGAAAGCAGGTGTCAGATCTGGGAAATCCTGTCAGCAATTAAACCTTGTCTGCATATGTCAATGGTAATCTCTGCAATGGTGTAATTTTGGGCAGATTATATGGTTTCATGTTATACCAAGTTATGCACTTCCCTAGGGAAATAATGCTAGAATGGAAATAGCCTTCCCAAGTGATATATTTCTGGATCAGTGTGGCATGAGATCATGAAAGATGGAAGAGGCAGCCTGTATTAATTACCTTTAAGTTTGTATTAATTACCGTTAAGATGGCATTTTGGAACTGACATGTTGGGAATTGTAACAACATATTGTAGCATGGAGTGCATCTCTTCAGCATTCGCACCCTTCAGTCAGCATTCTGTATCCATCAAAAACACTGATGTCTCACTGGGCTATTTAATAGCATAGTGGTGAGATTCAAGGGTAAGGTATATTTCTGTGAAATTGTCTACCATCTGCTTTACAGGAAGCTGGAGAAAATTTTTTTGCTGTGCTGGTCCACCAGAAACTCAGTCTTCAACTTGGTAAGTTGCAGTACCCTCCCCAGCTGCCACACTTTTCCTTGTGAATTCAGTGGAGCCTTGTTCATCATTTAGAAACTTGACTTTTAATGCTTCATTGCTATAGAACAAATTGTATGGTTTTTCTGCAAATTGCTAGTGATTTAACTCTCACTTAGCAGCCACAGAAATAAAGCACTAAAGGTGATGGCATCCATTATAATGGTGACAGGGAGAAAGCTTGTGAGAGGAATAGTATGTTGCTGAAGAACAAAAATATTTAAAACTCATCATGCAAGCACCTCAAAGAAAATGTAGTGTTTAATAAAAGCCAACATGGATTCACCAAATATAAATCCTGCCAAACTAATTTGATCTCATTTTATCTCCCAGATGGACAGAGGAAACACTGTGAACATAATCTAACTTGAATTTAGCAAAGGTTTCAACATACCCATGGCATGCTGATAAGCAAATTAGCAAAAAATGGGCTAGGTAGAAAACTATTAGGTGATTCCAAAGTTGGATGCTAAATTGGACACAAAGAGTGCTTGTCAATGGCAAGTTCTCAAACTGGAGGGAGTTAACTAGTTAACTCAGGGTTCAGTCCTAGTCTCAGTGTTCTTCAACATCTTTATTAATGATTAATGACAAGGAAAGATAATCAAATTTGCAGACAATGCAAAGCTGGGTGGAATAGCAAACACTCTAGAAGACAGAATGAAGATCCAGGAGGATCTTGATAAACTTGAATACTGGGCTGAAAGCAAAGGAATGAGATTCCACAGGGACAAGTGCCAAATCCTTCACCTAGGAAGAAGAAACCAAATCCATTGATACAAGAGGGGGATTATGTGGCTCAACAGAACTCAAAAAGAAAAAAGACCATGGAGTTATTGTGGACCACAGGCTAAATATGAGCCAACAATGCAAGGCTCAACAATGCAATGCAATGCAAGCCACCAAAAGGGCAAATGCTATTTTGAGATGTATTAATAGAGGTATTACTTCCAAATCACGACAAGTTGTAGTTCTATACTCCTCACTAGTCAGACCTCATCTGGAATACTATGTCCAGTTCTGGGTACCAAGATTTAAGAAAGATGCAGAAAAAATTAGAAAGGGTCCAGAGGAGGGCAACAAAAATGATCCAGAGTTTGGAAACACTGTGCTATGGGGAGAGATTGAGAGAACTGGGCATGTTCAGCCTTGAGAAGAGAGGATTGAGGGGGGACATGATATCATTCAATAAATACCTCAAAGGCTGTCACAAAGAGGAAGGTCAAGATCACTTCTTGCTGATATCAAAGTGTAGGGCACAGAATAGTCAATGCAAGCTGTGACAACCTAAATTCAGGCTAGATATCAGGAAAAGTTTCCTCACTGTCAGAGTAACATGACAGTGAAACCAGTGGAACTCTACTATTCTACAATTCTATGATTCTATGAACTCAAAATTGTACAGATTTTGGGTTAAAAAATCATCCAAAGCAAGAACTGTTGAAATGAAAAAATTATTGAACTGCATTGTAATGCTTGTGCAATCTGAAAATGCAAATCAAACACAAACATACTCTCCCTCAGTTATTGTCTTTTTAATGATATACAAGGAAATTAGTAATGGTATAGAATGAACATGTTCAGTTTAAGTTTGCCTAGGGTGAGTTCACTTTTGTAGAATGTTATCATACTGATTTTATATCTTTTTAATTATCATGACTTTCCCCAAAGAATCTTAGGAACTGAGCATCCTTAGAATTATCTGTTAGAGATGTCTAATCACCATTCAGAGAACTACAGTTTCCTAAGAAGTCAGGAGCGTAGATAAGCCTCAAAAGTGAATGTTGAAATGCACTATAGCAGGACTCTTTGCAGTTCATTGGTTGAAATAAGCAACTTTATATAAGAAGTATGTTCGAAAACAACTATAACTCCTGCTTATTTTTTTTTTTTGGTCCCTTGTTCATGTCCTCCAAGATCTCTTGTACCGGTGTAAATACATTAGGGACAAAACAGAACATCTTACCTGTAGCAATAGCATTAAGTCTGTTCTCCCCCACTGTTCTTCCTTTCTGCTTCTGCAGTTAGATACAGGGGGAAGGTGGCAGCTGCATTTTTCTCTTTAATCACCAGATTTTTCCCATAGTGGGGAGACACCTGGTGGTAAGGACTGAGCTACTGGTGTTTCAGTTTACTAATTTAGAACTTCCTACATTTTGAGTCCATGGAGGTTAGTTTTGTAGGTGATGATCTTGGATTTATTTACAAAAATGGCAGATGGATGACATATTTAAACTCTTTCTGGACCACACCTCTTCAGGCAATGTGGGGGGGGGGGAGTGATCAAATATGTGGATGCTGCTGTTGATAAAAATCAAACCGAAATGTCTCCATGCACAGAGAAAAATAAATCACAATGGTACTTCTCCCACATATACTAGATTCTTATATACCGCTAATGGTTTTCTTGAATAAGTGTTTAACTTGCAACCTCCCCCAGGAAATTGTTGGTATGTATTAATCTCTTGGTTACTAATCCTCTCTATCCAACAAGCTTTGAAAGGCTTTGTTTACTTCTGCTTTTCAGTATTAATATCAGTGAGTCAGATCCCTTCAAGTGTCCTTCAGAACCTGAGCCCGAACTGGAGCCAGAACAGGACCAGGTAAGTTGCATGACTGAGAACCTTGCGCTGAAAGAAAGGTAGATTACACATGGAGATGAGTGACTGTCTTCTTCAGACAACTGAAGGCAGTCTGAGTGAGAGCTTGCTACTTGAGTTATGTTTACTTATTTCACTTTTGCCTCTGGAAAACAAGTAATAAGTTTTTTTAAACAGTTGCTTACTTGAGGAGACAACAAAACAAAAGGAAGGAATGCATGTGTGGGGAAGGATATCTCAGTATTTATTTTATTTATTTATTAAAACATTTTTATGCCGCCCCATTCGCCGAAGTATAGGAAGTTATGCTATTGATTCCCCTAAAAACTATTCTGTCTGTATCAGTAAATGATGCTGTAACTCAGCACTTTTTGAACTGTGTCTCAGGGAGTTACAGGATTCCTTAGAAAGCTACCATGGCTTCCTCGGACAGGAGATCACTTCAGGCAGGCTTCTCTGAATTTCCCTGCAAGGGACAGTTACATTGGAGGCATTTGCTATGTTTTCACCTGTGTGAATGGCAGTGTGACCTGATAAACCAATGCCTAGTCCTTGGCATGAACTGACTATGCATCTAAGCATGTGCCCTAAATCCTCTGCAACACACCAGAGGGCCTTGGCATACAATGCTAGGTGGAAATTCCTCTCTGTATTTTTAAAAACCATACATGCAATTGCATATACCAGAAGAAGCCACTGATCCTAGCCTTATTCATAAGCTTTAAAAACTTAGTCATGTAAATGTAATATGCATTTTTGAAATACTATGTTCTATTCTAAAGCATTTTACAAGGGGGAGCAACTAGATTTATGCATTTAAAAGTGATTGCCCATCTGGAATATTTAAGGAGTGGACAGTTTTTCATTTTTTTTACCCTTCTCTCAACTTTATTT